CGAGGTTAAATGGGGCAGATTGTCATTGTCTATGGCCTCAGAAAAAGTAAAATGTCATTGGTGTGGGTGTTGGCGCAAATTGGACGGAAGCGACATAAAGACAAGCAACAATAATAATTATAAAGAGAAGAAGTTGTAAATTGAGGTCGATCGTTTCGATAATTTCTTTTAGGCCTGCTAGAAAAGGTAGATATCGTAAATTTTTGAGCTAGGTAACTATTTTTAATAATTTTTGTGGTTATTTTTTTTTAATTTTATTACACTACTGCAATATATGCATTTTTTTTATGGAGTGTTTATCAAATGTGTTCACCATACTCGTGCCATAGACATATGTGCTCATTTTGTTAGCTCTAATAACCTTGACAGATGTTTTTTTTTGTATTTTCTAACCTTACTCTAATTCTAGAGGACATTCCGGTATCCTCCTCTCTTAATAAAAACATCTCAGAATCCAATAAGTTATTATTGTTGATATTTCTATGAGGCCGTAAATAAGTTCAACTAACCCAACTGCCTGCTAGAAAAGAAAGGAGCGGCAGAATCTAATTAAAACACTGGAATTAAGATTATTTTTTTTTGGATCGCAATAAATCCCGTATAAACAAAAAACTTTGTGTTAAATTGTGATATAGCAATGTCATACATTTTTTATATGTCTTAACTGTTTGTTTTCTAATAAAAGTAATTATTCAAATCAACATGCGAACACGTTGAAATGATTTCGCCGTTTATAATAGCGAGGCACATGTCATATCACCTACTCCAAGTTCCAAGCAAGGGTCGCGTCGCCGCCGGTGCGTCGATTGTCAATTGAGCTTAAACTGATTTGGTTTTTATTGCGTTCCGTTCCCAACTGACTTATTTATCTTCATTACATCTCTGCCGACTAGTAGATACAGATTTTATTATGAAGGGGAACCGTGCAAGGGGGCCGACACCGTGTAATTGTGTTCGCATTGAATAATTGCAAGGCAAATGTTTTGCTTCGGGAATTGTGAATTGTTTAAATCCCTTAGTGTTAATTTTGTTAGGAGATTTATTGTTTTGACTCCACCTTGAATAATGTGCAGTTTCGATTAGTCTTTTTAACGATTGGTATAAGAATTCTTAATTTTATTAGAGAATGCTTTTGTTTGTTTTAAAAGTAGTTTTGTCTTTAAGCAGTAGGAAATGCTTTTATTATGAGGTTCCATTTTTGAATGCTTTAATGAATTAAAATTATTTTTTTTTTCTTTTATAATTTTTTATATTTTTTTCTTTTTTTCATAGGCCCATAGGCATATATCTATATAGTATAGGCTATCGTTGACGAGGTGATTTCTACCCGGTTTCTACCCGGGCAAGTGCTGGCTAAGGTTATTCACGAGCACGGTTTGTACGTTTGTACCGATCCAAAAAAGGTCGCCAGCGCCGGTGTACTTAACAAACTTCTATAGTGTCCCACACTTAACTGACGACCGGATGTAGGACACGTATAAAAATATTGCATAAACCCGGGTAGAAATCTTCTCGTTAACAAGCGCCTTTATTTTAAAATTATAAAATTATAAGTATGGATTTTACTATCGGAATATTTAACAATCATGTAATAACAATAACGGCACCATTAATTTGTTTCTTACGACACCAATTATCGGTAAACGGTTACACTTCTAATTTCGAATCACTGGAACAATCGGGCAGTGAACGTGTCATAGACAATAAACGTATTAAGGGGCCTATAGACTGCAATACAATTACCGGCGCGTGCGATGCGGTCCGGAGGGTGGCGATTTTCGATAATGTCAATGGTTAATGTATGGCTATCGGTTTGCGCCTATTACAAGGGCTGTTCGGAGCAAATTGAGCGGTGCCACTATTAATTAAATGGACAGTAATTGGCTCCGGTTTATGGGATGATTTGTGTGTTTACGGCGGTGCGTTTCAGTAGATTTCTTAAAAATGAGGGAACTGTAACACAAATATTTTACGAGTGACTGTTTTTAGTGATCTGTGAGTCACAGACTATGACTAAACTTAGGCAATTCCGGATTACAATCAGGTCCACGGTTCAACGAAAAAGAGTATGGAAAATGAAATCCTGTATCTATCCTGTATTATGTATGTTCTTTTATGTATATAAGCGTTATCCCGCATGCTGGATCCCGCAAGACAGATTAAGTTAGATAGTGCGTAAAGGATTATAGCAGCATTTTGAGTGTCTATTTTATAGCAACTGGTCGCAAATTTGTGGAAAGTTAGATAAAAGATCTGCGGGATTTCAATCAAGTCTGTAGTTAAGGAAAGAAAAATATATTCCGATGCATTGAGAACCACCTTCTTTTTGAATTGGGTCAAAAAGATAATAGAACAGTAAACAGTTTGCGCATTCATTGCTAATAATCGGAATACATCGCTGATTACCATACATCCACGTATGGAATCGTTGTGAAATATGTGTTAATTATGCTAGAACATTGCCGTACTACCTTCACTTATTGGCCGAATGATTTCAAACGGTTCGGTCAATCACAGTTACTGGGACGATGAGTTTTATTTTGTGTGCTATGAAATCACATCTTCAATATTGTGAAAATGTAGGCTTGTAATTCTTTAAAACAAATCATTCATGAGTTTGTGTTAAAGCTATTTATAAGTCTCGCGTTAGTTTTGATATTGAATGAATGAATGTTAATCTTAGTAAAAATAAACTACAAAACTTCTTTATAGAAAATTGCTCGTTACAAACTTTAAACTCGCGTTGTACCCCTTTAGGGGGTGAGTTTTGAAAAATCCTTTCTTAGCGCACACCTATGTCATAAATAGCTATATGTGTGGTAAAATTATTACTTAATCTGTGCTACACGTATTACTGTACGACTATTACTATATTATATATATAGATACCCACTTCTATCGAAAAAACATGGCGTTGTCTATGAATTTACATTTGGGCGTGAAATTGAACGGGGTGTTAAACGATACTGCACGACAATGACAAACAACAAGTTCTTTAACAATCATGTAGCACTCATCAAATCAATTCTCGAATATACATAGAATTTTTACATTCGCAACTCGTCGGAAAATTAAAAAAAAATCATACCTAAATTATTTCATAATTTTATTTAAATCTTCCTTTTAGTATAATGGTTTTTCAACGAAATTGGCTAACCGAAAAAATACCTATCTTCACAATCTTTGCATATAACAACTATTTATAACAACTTTGTGAAAAGCTCAAAGACAGACCCGAGATTAAGTACTTACCTAATACTAAAAAAGCTAACTTTAAATCTAAAGAAAATTTTACTAGAAATAAATCCACGCTGACCAGGCATTTTTCTTCTAGTTTTTCTTTAGATTTAAACTGCTTTGTAATTGTTTAAGTCAAAAATAAGAGACGAGTTTATTAATATTAACTCAGAATTTCCCAGTATAATAGACCCTTTACGTACGTAAACATTTATGGCGGCATTTCAAGTCTTGTGTGCCTAACATGTTAACAAGAGTTTCGAAATAAAGAACAAGTTGTTACGAAATCATCTCTTCCAACGACCGAGGAAAATCGTACGGTAAAACGGTTTGCAACATAAAGATATCCTGAAGGAAAAAAATGTATATTAACGAACAATATAAAAAAGCAAAGTTAAGTCTGTATAAGTAAGTAGTATAAAAAAATAGTAACCTAAAAATTTCGGATGCATTAAAGTTTTATCGTTATAACTACATGAATACGGAAATCCACCTCTATCGAACGGAAGCTTTTTTGTTGTTATGGCAATGTAGATTTGACTTTTTGCCAATGTCTATACGGAAGCCTTACGGAAGCTTTTTAAAAGTTTACATTTTAGTGTTTCCTCGTTTCTTTATACGTATTCAGCCAGCACACGCCACGCCAGTCGCTCGACCCGCACAGCTGGCGACCAACGAGTCCGTTGTGAAAAAAGTCTTGTTTCGTAACAAATCTCCTTTAGGAAGCTACTGACGAGACTATTGCAAATTGATTGTCGAGTGTTCTGTCGCCACCCGCCATGGGAACGACTCAAGTGGTGCCGTCGCCATATTAAAAAAAGAACACGATTCTAATGCACTCAAATACGCAATAAATTTCCGATGATAAATTCTTGCTTCGTTTTAGAAATACAGATGTTTTGAAATGTTACATTTAGATTATCCTATAATTAGGTTTAATAAATAGTTTAACTAATTGGTATCATCATCAGGGGAATTGTATTATTTAGTACCTAAAGTACTTTCTTACATCTTAATCGAGCTCCTAATAAAATCATAGACGATATACGTGACCCTTAAAGGCGTTCGATATTCTTTTTTGGGTTCTATGTCAACAGCGCTGCCTTTTTAAATTTAGAACCACTACAAGAGCTAATCAGATTTGTAAAGCGTTTTTATGTTTGTTTCTTTTTTATAACAAGAAGCGGTGCGGCTTTGTGTTGCCAGTAATGAAAGATACGGTCAAGAAAAAAGGCACGCACACACACACGCTGCATGGGAAAACATTTAATTAGACAATAGCTTATTTGTGTTTGTTTTGTGTTAATGTACTCCTTTTGAAACGCTGGATGTGTTCAATTAGCACCTATATAGACTACTGGTTCCTTGCGAGTTTTCGGATTCCTTTTTTCAACCAACTTTTATGACGAGTCAATTTCGAAAGCGAAATATTTAAAATTTCAATAACATCAGATTTGGTTTACGAACGCCGCTCTATTGTTTTGCTGTCGAGAAGTGTCTCTACAAGTAGCTGATGTCTAGACGAACGGTTATTAAGATAATGCGCTACTTACGAACGGAATACTTACAACCCTTTAAGAATCGGTTGTGTTTAAAAAGATAGCGATTATCGGCCCTTGAAACATGCTTCGGGCTAATTTTAGTTACTTGAAAAATAAATATTAAGCAGCTCTGGCCGCTGTTATGTTTATTAAAATATAATGGTTTAACTAAATTAATGTCGTCTACATTTTGTACTGATTATTTTTGTTCTTTGTTCGCAGAGTCTTTGAGCCCTCAGTCAGAACAGATGACCAACTCATCATCAGCACCAGATCCAAATATAAGGTAATTTATTTATTTATTTATTAGAAACAAACGGTCATACATATAATTTTGAAAATATTGTCAGTTTATATATCACTACAGACCTACAGTTTCCTTAATTAGAAATCGCGCTGTACAGCTAAAACCCAGTAAGTCGAAACGAGCTAACAATACAGATCGACCCGACCCCCCGCCCACGGAAACCCGAGGTAAATTGAAATGACGCTAAATAATAACGGATTATTGGTATTATTTCAATACGCCAATGTTGGATGAGATTACACAATAAATAAAACATAACTCATTACCTAAAAGCGGGTACTGACTTGACTGTAATGACTTCATCTGAGTTGTTCAATGGATTTCCCATACAAACTTTCACCCCTATTTTTACCCCCCTAAAGGATAACTTTTGGGATATAACTATTCTATGTCCTTTCACGGGACTTAAACTATCTCAGTAGTTTGAAGTGGTTTGAAGAGGTAACAGGCAGATAGATACACTTTCGCATTTATAATATTACATACTACTTAGTGAGTGCCCGCGAATTTGTCTGATTGAAAAATTGGTTTCCATAAACTTACTCCCCCAGTTTTCACCCGCCGTAAGGGTGATTTTTGGAAAAAAAACTATCCTATGTCCTTTCCTGGTACTTGAACTATAGGTATCTATACCAAAATTTATGTAAATCGGTTTAGCGGTTTTAGCTTGAGGTAACAGATAGACAGACTCACTTTCGCATTTATAATATTGGTTTGTACATACCTATATGTTTACAATTTTTTTGTTTGTCGCAATTTTTGTTTTTTTTTGTTTCAGGCGATACCGTACCGCGTTCACGAGGGAACAGTTAGCAAGGTTGGAAAAAGAATTCATGAAAGAAAACTACGTTTCTAGACCAAGAAGGTGCGAACTTGCAGCACAACTACAGTTACCGGAATCTACAATCAAGGTATGTAAAAGTTTATTTTATGTTAAAAAGTTGGCAAACAAGCATTTGGTCCCCCTCCCTCATAGTGCGCGCACACCATATCCTATAGACGCTTGCGGTACCAAAAATATTACTCGCGCCGTTGCCTATCCTGACCCAATTTCTTACCCGTGGAGCCCTGGAACCTTACCTTCTCATAATTGAAGGATTTTAATAACTCCCATTGTTATATTTAAAATTTTTTAATCATGTAAAAATGATTAAATCTAATAAAAATTTTACTTTAAACTTTTCGTGGATTACCTACAATGCGAAGAGATTAAGTTGCTATGCAGCTTAAGAAAGGCTAGATAAAAATTCGACACGGCTATCAGAGCCGCGGTAGCATTATGCCACCAGTCTCAGTATGTAATCAGTGCATTCGCCCGGATAGCGAAAAGTGCGGTTTCGAGTCCCATCTGCTGCCTGGTCTGCGTAGAATTTTTTCTAGTACATCCCCCATTGTGTCACATTATTTCGTCAAGGCGATATGTCAGTTTCTCTTTTAGAGTATCGTCAACTGATCTAAATGTGTTTCTTCATTCATCAACGCCCGCCCACGCAGGGCCTTCATTCGTTTGTCTCCGAGAGTAACATACTGACAGAGCTAATTTGTTACGCAATAAATAGGCACTGAAAAAGATATGACCACATTTTGATGTGTCTTCTATTTCTTATCACATTTCAAGATAGGTGTTTGGTAACAAATCATGCGTAGGTTGACTTTTGTCACAAATTTCGCAAAAGCTTCAAACGAAAACACGAAGTTTCTAAATTATTTTGCTAGCTCTTTTGCTTAGGATTATATTTTCGATGGATAGATATAATACATAGAAGACTAATTTTACAATACGTGCAGCATAGGTTTTCTGTAAAGCCTCGATGACACGGGGCGAGTTTACAAGCTACAAGCCAGCGAGTTCGCTAGCAGCTTGTAAACTCGCCCCGTGTCATCGAGGCTTAAGATGTAATCTCACTTATGATCTCATTTAATCGGATTTCTGGCAAATGTCAAATAAAAACCCCTAAGTTGGGAACCGTGTAGCCCCTCTCGTCTACGTCTCGTCATCTGCATAGGTATTCTGTAAGATGCAATCGTCATTTATTCACATTTCTGACAAATGTCAAATATCTAATACTGGCTGCTTCTACAGACAGCGAAATTGTACCGTGTAATGGCGTAATGCATATTAAACTAATGTCAGATACCGAAATCGAAAGTGAGATTTTATTTTACGGAATCACCATACTGCTTTCATAAATCTAATACAAACTGCTGTCAATATTAAACATTACACATGAAGAAATTTGTTTCTTTTATTAATTTGGAATGGATTTTGATTAAAATGGACTTATTTTAAAATAATTAATACTTACCTACATGTGAGTGTTTTAAATTCAATGCATATCTAAAATAACAGTTTTTTGTAGTAAAATACCGTTCAATTGCACTCGATCAATTCGCTTTAATAATCCAAGGACAGAATGCAAATATAAAAAATAAAAAGTTTTGTAGTTTATTAAATTTTAAGCAATAAACTGCTAGATTTTTTATTCAAAAAAAAATTTTTATAAAAATAAAATAATAGTAAGTGTTTAATAGCTTTTCGAAATCTTTTGTACTTAGATATTTTTTCTTTCAAAGTAGGTGGTCTCAAAAAGTGTAGCATTATTATAACCGACACAAAAAGGCTTCGGTCTCTATATAAAGTGCTAATCATTCGTTATGAACACGGCCGCGTATGATCCCCCAATTAGATCCCCAATAATTTCCATCACGAACACTTTATGAGTGGTTGCTAATTCGCAGAAATCACGCGAACAAATGTGAATAAAAAATTGGTGTAGGTCTATGAATACACGATGTAAAAAAACTATAAAGTGTTTTACAGGGCGCGGCGTCAAAAAAAAACTGGCTTATAAAAAGTGGTAAAAACTATTCCGCGGTTGGGAATCCAACTCAAGCCAAGGCGAGCTTTTAATCGCTGTAGCTTGCTGACAAGATCTGAAGTTTTTAACAACAATAAAAAAAACTGCGGCATTCTAAAGATGAATGAAAACATTAATGGCGATGTAAGAGTTTCACAATATTGTAGTGAGTGGTTGACAACTGTGTGGCAGGCTGTGATAGTAGTAAAATGAAAAAATGGGAATGAAATGAATGAAACCAATTCATATCATTCATTGTCAATAATTATACTAGAAATTCTTTGGAATTAGGGTTGCCATTTAGGAATTTCAAAAGTCCTGGAAAAATCCTGACATTTCGAAAAAAGTCCGCATTTTTTAGTCACAAAATGGTACCATTACCCACTATGTTACAATGGTATGGCATTTAAATCAATATGTACTTTTATTATTCATATTAAATGTTATTAGGAAAATCCGGACAATTTAAAGATCTGGACAAAGTCCGGACTATGGCCTAAAATTCCGGACATGTCCGGACTAATCCGGACCCTATCTGGAATGCACTTCCTTTGCACGTGTGTACCGGTCCCAGCAGGACTGTGTTTCAGACTTCGGCGCGGGTACACTACCTTAATCTATTGCAAAGTGCTTAATCAGAATGTATTATTTATGTGCGTGTAGGTATACAGGGCGTCCCACGGCAACCTCACACGGAGGGAAAGTATATTAAATATTGAAGATAGGATATTTTACTGAAAGAAGACATCATTTTATTTTTAATAATAAATAAAACTGCATTCACAGTTTTTTTTTAAAAAATCGCCTGTTACAACTGGGAATCAAACTCGTGAAATTTCGAAAAAAAACACGACATATTTTATGATAACCACCGAAAGGGTTAATCATAAGCATTATTTTTTGCTTAATAACATAGCATTTTAAATGAAAGAAAAGTAATTAAATTGAAAATTTTATTTAAAATTATTTTACACAAACTAACATTCGTATACGCCTCAAAGTAAGTTCAAATGTTGAGTTCATCATCGTTGGCGTTTATCATCCGCTGCTGTGGTTTCTGTAAGCGCATATCAAAGCGTCCTAAATTGCAGTATCCACTAACCTTTTAAGCACATATCGAGAAGATACGTCTCCATCAGCATATCTTTTGCGGTACCACCGAAAAGCTAATTATGTCTTTGTGTTTCATAAAGTAAGCTTCCATGAAATCCATTTTATTTTGGTACGCCATGGTAAGTTAAATAACAAAAAAAAATATGGGTGCGTGTACTTAAGTACGCGCGTGAGAAGTTATACTTCTTTTTGGAATTATTAAAAAATAGTTTTTAATTGCATGCAGATAATTAATTACAATAAGATAATAAAAGGATTGGAAAAGGATAGTCAACGCAGTCAATAAAGTTCAGTTTTAATTTGAAAAATTTAATAAATAATCAAAATATTCAATTTAAATCACTACTGAATAAAATTTATTAGCACATATAAATTTCGCATTTGTATAACATTATAACACGTGTTAAGAATATAGAAACTAGAAACATGTGGATAAATATGAAAACAGTGATCAGAGGCGACGAGCGTCCCAACATGTGCGACTAAGAGATCCTATTACTATTTTGTTGGAAGCTTTTTTTCGAGACTTACGAGTAATGTGCGGTTTAGCGGCCGACTTCATGGTGTTACTTTTCTGATACAGTGTTGCGCGCGCATCTTAAAATTTCACTCTCATCATTTTTTCATAACGCGCCCGCGGCTAACTTCATTATGTTACTTTTGTGTTACAGTGATGCGCGCGCATCTTAAAATTTCACTCTCATAATTTTTTCATAACGCGGCTAAAGAAGTATAACTTCAAAAAAACTGCAAATAAACGAAAATGAAACTCAAAAAAAAGAACAGACGCTTGAAAATTTATGTGTTCCATTTTCGATTTTTTTTTATAAATTTCAGCCAATCGCATTGTAACTGTGAGTTCAAAAAGAAAGCATTACGTACTTCAGTTTGTATAACACTTTATTATTTTTATCACGTAATAAGACATTCCTTTCATTTAAAATGCTATATTATTTAACAAAAATAATGCTTATGATTAACCCTTTCAATAGTTATCATAAAATGAGTTGTGTTTTTTTTTTCGAAATTTCACAAGTTTGATTCCCAGTTGTAACAGGCGATTTAAAAAAAACTGTGAATGCAGTTCTCGTTATTATTAAAAATAAAATGATGTCTTCTTTCAGTAAAATATCTTATCTTCAATATTTAATATACTTTCCCTCCGTGTGAGGTTGCCGTGGGACGCCCTGTATATTTATATATTTATATGTGTTTGTGTATATATTTATATAATTTTAATCTCTCCTCTTTGTCTCTGTCTTTTTGTTAAAGTTCTGTTTGTTGTTTCCGGTTGACTGTTAGAGAATGTAAATGGCAGACTTAAGGTCAATATGGCAGTGTAAGAAAGATTAAATAATATATATATATATATAGTATTTTTAATATGTATTTATAGGGCGTCAACGCATAAAATCCGGTTAATGTATATTTTTTCCTATTCCATCCATAGGAAAGGCCTGTGCCCCAGTTGTGGGCTGACATTTATTAATAGGCTGATGATGTATTCTTAGATTTGAACTCATATTTACTGGCTTGTAATTCATGAGTTTAGTTTGGCCATCCACATGAATAGAGAGGAGTGATTTTATTTATACGTGTATTATTTATTAGTATTTTCACTATAAATATACACTGAGTAAAATCTAAGAAACAAATTTTAAAAAGTCTCAAAAGCCGTATTCCACGCCAATTTAAATTCTCGCCCAGTCATAATGTCAATTATCACCTCTATTAAAAAAAAGAAAACGGTCCGCTTTGAAAGAAAAAAAACACATGTATTTATTGCTTCATTCGTTTTTACATTCACGCTAATTTGTCGATGGCATGGGTATTAATAAAAACCGGCCGAATTATTCAGTAGCTTTAGACTGCTAATGAATATTGAAGGCGGGAACACTCGGTTATATAGCGGTCATCATTAGTGAGAGGTGCATGAAAAGACTTCATCGATTGTCTATGGGCGATGTTAGGGCTGCACCATATCAAAAAAGAATTCATTTGATAAAGAAGTAAACGTTGAACTGCCTTCATTAGCAATTTTAGCACATAGTTGATTATTGTGTGTATAAAAACCACTGACAATGATAAATAATTACAAATTGATGCCACCCGTTAAGGTTTAAAGATAGCCAACAAAATGGGTAGATTCTCGTTAAACGATACCTACAGTAAAACATAATTTGGATTGCTTTATTGTTAAACTCTGTATTAAATTTAGTGACTTCCGTGGCGTTGTTTTTCGACTCCTATTTAGATGGTAATTTTACGTAGTATTTGGTGATGCAAGAAACATTTTTGAGCCATTGAATCAAATTAATGATGTGAAACTAAGCAATGCTCAATACTTTGTTTGCTTACTCATAATGAAATTATACTTTGTTTAAATTGACATAATGAAATCTTTACAACTTTTTCCTATCACCCATTCAAGCCATCTTTTAGCTAATAAGAAAAATGGACGCCAGAAACTCAGCAGCATTAAACAGGAGTAGCGGCATTCATATAAAATATAGCTATATCACTCAAACTGACAACTCTGAGACTGTTATAGCATCTGCTTTATGGCACGATCACGTCAATTAAAAACTATTAAATTAAACCGCAGCTACCATTTGATGCGCAGTAAAGTCGGCACTTTTTCTTCATGTTTGTTTATAGTGATGTATTTTTATGACTTCACTGTCAAAGCTAAAAAAGCTATCATCATTTCTTGGTACAAACTGTTACGCAGCTAATTACCGATCAATGAAATTACGTGTTTAGTAATTAAAAATTTGAGGCAATGTAATAAAAGTTTCACTTTATTGCGCGCGAATTGCTTGTTAATTGGCGGGACTATTACGCGAAAGCTGTTGGAAAATCTTTTCCTTTGTGCGATCCATGGACAATTGTTTTAATTAAAGGCAAAATTATCAAAAAGTTTGGACAAGATACGTTGTGCCTCTGAATAAGTTTAAATGTGAGGCTGATGACGAATTAATACTTAAATTTTAACAAATCGTGTACGGAATTTATGTGTAAATGGATCTGTTTCCCTCCCTAAACATTTTACGTCATTTATAGACGATTATTCAGAGGCACAATGTTCCTTGTCCGAACTTTTTGATACTTTTGCCTTTCAGTATAACACTTGTCTATGGATCGCACAAAGGGAAAGATTTTCCAACAGCTTTCGCGCAATATTCCCGCCAATTAGCAAGCAATTCGCGCCAACAAAGGTAGTCCCTTCTCTCTCATTGAGTGTTTATTTGAACGGGACACAAAATATAAGCAAAGGCAAACTGAAAGGATTTGCGTTTGCACATTTTGTTGTTTTAACCGCCATTATGAAGTTTAATGTTTCGAGGCTTGAGTGATGGTACAGAGAGATTGAATATTATATTGGTTATTCAAAAAAGCTGTCATCAATTAGCGAGACAGCGCGAATAGTTGAATAATTAAGTGCTCAAAGATTTAATAATAATGGTATACCTAAAACTAACGGTCTTTGTAACAGGAAAAAGGATTCTTAATATGATATTATTACTAATACAATAATTTTAGCTTTTAAAGTTCCATTTAAATAAATCTGGAAATAAGTATTTAAATATGTATATGTATGCTGACTCGACTATAGCGAAATCAACTTCATTTAGTCCTTAAGTAAGCATTATTGTGAATTACGATTAATGGCAAGAAATAACGGTTTACTCAAATCTAATCAAAAATATACACAGTTAAATACGTACCAGGTAGTCCAAATACTTTAAACGGTATCGCAAGCGTCTGTAGGCTATGGCGGCCGCTTACCATCAAGCTATACAGCATATCTTTAAAAGCTTCTTTAAAAAGGTGGCATTTCTACAACTTTTTTCTTTTTGTCAACAGGTATGGTTCCAAAATCGTAGGATGAAGGACAAAAGACAACGCATAGCTGTCGCGTGGCCCTACGCGGCTGTATACAGTGACCCAGCGTTTGCTGCCTCCATTTTGCAAGCGGCCGCGTCTTCCGTAGGTTTACCTTACGGCTACCCTTCCCCCGCCCTCATGCCCCCGTTCCACAACCCCCAACTTCTACCCTCCAGCTACCCCTACCCATACCCCACTTACCCCCGTTACCCTTACATACCCCCGACTCCCCCCTCCCCAGTAAACCCCGAAGCATCAACCCTAAGGCCCTCATATCCCAACTTTAATATAAACCTAGAAAAATAAATGTAAAGAAAAAGAATTTGTATCTATTGTAAATAAGCTTTATTGGTAACATTGTGTTATAAGGTAATTTATTTGACAGCTATGTTCATGTGTAAATACTCATTAGATAAAAATAAAATATATTAAAGGTTTGATTATAATAACAAGTACTTATCATACAATAAAAGCATGATGTGTTCAATTAATTTCTTTCAATGTTGAGTTTACTAAATTGTAAATTATATAATAAGTACTCTTATCTGTTTTGTGAGTTCTAGATATGAAATGAAAAATGTGTAATGTTTCAATGAAATCATTCCAATAATTACTTACTCTACTATTGGATACTACGTTAACGACTCATTTACATTATTTAAATGTAATTATAGTATTAATCTTTGTAAAATAAAGTATGGTTAAAGTTTATTGTTAAACCAAAGCGTTAACATTATTCGCCAGTGCAATATAATATACGTGGCATTCGATTCGCTGTAAATACATGTATTGTTTTAAAATTTGCCTACGTTGTTTGAAAAAAAAAATCTTGAGATAAATATTGAACTGGATAGTAATTAAGGGAAGATATATTAATTTAAAATTGTAAAAAATATTTTTTGGATATAATTTCTGGCACACTATAATAGGTATAAGGACTGATCCCAAATATTTTTTTTATAAAATCATTCATATATAATCATCTTTTAACTAAATTGGAGCTTTTAAATGGATAACAAAGCGCGATTAATTTAGATTTTCCATTTTTCGCCGTTTTGGTTCGTTGTCGACTGGGGGGTAAGGTGGTCAATTAGTGTGATTGATATTAAGACAGAGATATGTTTTATTCCCTGTCAATACGTATTGCATGGATGATTTTTAATCATTTTTAATATAAAATATTCCATAGATTTAATTAGAATGTAAGTGATTGTAAAAAGTTACATTTAAACATTATGAAAAACATAAAATGAAGTTATATATAAATCTATTTAGACGTTTCATTTCAAAAATAACACTTGCACCCTGTGTAACTGTCTTTCCTGTTGGGATCAGGCATCTCCTTGCCTCCCCTTAATCAGTATACATTATTATCTGCGTATGACTGTGCTGCTAACCTTATTAAAGGGGTAAACCTTCCCGTAAAGAACGGGCCATGGTTTTATTTACTTTCACTTTGGTGGTATTTTCAAGTCTTGGTAACCTTTAGGTGAAGGTGCAGCATCAAGCACGCAACTCCTTAGCTACTAACAGCGGATATGTATTACAATGGAATCGTTGTTTGTTGAGATGTTTATACCATAAACATTTTTATTATAATTCAAAAATATTGAAATAAAATTTAAATTGTAAATTAAAAAAACCCCCGACGTACAAAAAAACAACATAAAATTCCAAATCAATAGTAACTGTAAAATATTACAAAACCCTTTTCTCAAATGCGAAATGATGATCTTCAAACTCCTAAACAGATCTTCATAAATTATAGGTAAGAACCATCTCGATCATGTCAGCTTTCAAATTAAAAAAATCCAATCCATTCATTTTGGAACTACGACACCTCACCACAGACAGATACAAAGACACGTCAAATTTATAACACCCCACTTTTTCAATTGCGAGTTAACAAAATCTATGTTTGCCATTTTATTTGACAGTATTTATACATATAGTAAAATGGTAGGAAACTCAAAACTGTACATTGAATATTTTTTTAGAATACTTGGGGTGTGATCTACAATCGATACCGAAGTGAAAATATAGTTTTTAGAATTTTTGTCTGTTTGTATGTATGTCCGCGATAAACTTAAAAAGTACTGCATGGATTTACTTCAAATTTGGTACGAATATTATTAAGAAGTCGGGTCAACATATAGGCTACATATTATCACGCTATCACCTACGGGGAACGAGCAGTGAACATTTATTTCTAACCAACTCTACGCGTACGAAGTCGCGGGCGGCCGCTAGTTAAAAATAAAGTGCCAATTGTTACTGGCATACACAACAGAATGATAAATATTCATTACTTACCAAAGACTAATATTTTCTATGGACTCCATAATCATTAGTCGAATACCCTATTGAATCTAGAAAGAAGAACTTTCTACGTGATATAAGTTTATAGATATTTGCTTCATATAGGCTTTCTGCAAATAAGGCTTTATGATCAAAATATTTTTTCCAAGTCAGAACAACACCAGCTAAGTTTATGTACTCTGTCGGCTAAGTTACAGAGTTTAATATAAACTGCTATACATACATCTTTTATGAAATATTTTTTGTACCGATTCAGTGAAGTTAATATGCGAGTTGCTGTTCACTACTTAGGTTAAAAGTAAGAAGATCAAGTTTAAGTTTACTAGGAAAGGTTAGGTTAACCCGCACTCCCGGCACGCAATGGGGGGACCCCGGTCCCCAGTGACCAGTGCAGGAGTATTGTCTGGTTTTAAGTGGCCCTGTTCAGGGTGTAGGTAGGGCCCTGTTTACTTCAGCGAGCCCCAGGGCTGGGGCTGAAGTGGGCAGGGAGGAGTCCCACATACCTTCTTCTTGTTCCCCCAGTGGTTGAAGGATGCGTAAGGCATTTCTCAGACACAAATAATAAAAATAAAGATAAGGTTAGGTTGGTTTGGCTATTTTTCATTAAAACAGATTCTACCTAAGCCTAAGTCCAGATTTTTAGCTTGACACGACATGCTCACGTCCGAAATATCCCCTGTTCCATATATTCCTACTGACATATCTCCACTAGTAGGGATACATGGAGTTTTTTTTCTAATTATCGCTACCAGTAGGAGTAAGTTTTCATGGATTTCTCTATGTTTAGATATTGGGGTAATAGATAGAAATACATATCTTCATCATCAACCTATTAAAGTCCCCACTGCTGGGGTACATGCCTTCCCTATGGATGGACTCAGGAAATTGTGCCACGACCCACCCACCACGCGGGCCTAATGCGGATTGGCAGATGTAATCGGGACCAACTGCTCACGGGAGCTCAACGGAGGAGCTCGAGATAGTAAATTTGTGGTCACCTATCTAATGACCGACCACTGCGAAAGTTGCTTAGCTGCAACGATCGCAGTCCAACGCGATAACCACTTGCGCCACCAGCTCCTCAATACATAAAATGATATAGAAATATAAACAGCCATGGCTTAGGTACAAATGCTTATATTTATCATACAAACATTTGCCCTAAGGGAGTCTAACCCAGAAGCGCTGACTTTGGTTAGGCGACACCTTGAGAACCGGTGGACACATGGTGGTATGCGAGGGAGATTATTGTTCCACCAAAATAGCATGCATGATTCTCAACCTCCGATGGCACTTTAAGAAGAAGAAGACAATCTTAAAAATCTAGGTCGATGGAGTAAGCTTAGCATAAAGCTTTGACAGCACCACAGATCAAAGAAAGTGGTTCGAAGGGTGATCATAGACCTTTGTACGGAAACCGATGTCGCTGGCTCGTCCTCACTTCACGTCCACCTAATAGATAATAGCCAATCAAAGGACGCGACATCAAGACATCAAACAATCGAACCAATCAGCGCTCACACCTGAGAGCAACGACGCAATCAGAACTAAGTTTTAGTAAAGTTAGAGCGTTTGCTCACACATAACTGTGGTTGCTTTGGTCATAAGTTATATGACAAGCATGCACCTTTTCGAGCCATTAAATTAAAACATCTTCCTGCACCCTGGCTTACGGACGATATAAAATCATTGATGCATAGAAAGGCTTCTGCTAAGAGTAGATATAAAAGTCGGCCAAGTGACCATAACAAAGATACCTATATTAAAATTCGTAATCGCTGCAATAAGGTGTGTAGAGATGCATTACGCCGTCACATTCATAATTCTGTCAGTATTGAAGATACTCCTAAAGTCTGGAAATTTCTTAGATCGCTTGGTATTGGAAAATCAAAGGAATACACGGATTCTCCTAAAATTAATATGGATTCTCTCAATAATTATTTTTCCTCTTCTACGGGTATTGATACAGCTGTTAAAATTAACACTCTTCGTCATCTTTCCACCTTACCAATACTGGACTTCCCTCCGTTTGTTTTTGTTCAATTATCAGATTGTGATGTTAAGACGAGCTTACTCTCAGCTACTTCTAATGCAATAGGTAGCGACGGCATAAGTCGTAATATGTTAGTACCAATTCTTGACTTTATCCTTCCTGTCTTAACTTTCCTTTTCAACAGTATAATCTCTAAAGCTACATTTCCTTCAGCTTGGAAAGACGGCCAGATTGCCTCTTTGCCTAAAGTACGGAACCCTAAAGTCCTCTCTGAATTTCGTCCTATATCCATTCTTCCTTTTTTATCCAAAGTGCTTGAACGTCTCCTTCATAAACAGATCAATAATTTCCTTACTCGCCATAATCTCCTTAATCCACTCCAATCAGGCTTCCGTCCTGGCCATAGCACTGTCACTGCTTCAGTCAAGGTTAATGATCAGAAAAGTCAGGTGATGATATCCGACTTGGCATGGATAATAGTCGCTTAACTGTGCTAACTTTATTGGACTTTAGTAACGCTTTTAACATCGTCGACTTTGATGTTCTCCTATCCGTGTTACGCTCTCTTAACATATCTCCAACGGTAATTGACTAGTTTCGCAGTTATCTGTATGGGCGTAGGCAGCGTGTTCGCCTTGATGACCAATTCTCGTCATGGTGCAACACGTCTGCTGGCGTTCCGCAAGGCGGCGTATTATCTCCTCTTCTTTTTGCAATATTTATTAATTCAATCTCTTTAAATTTATCTTCATCCTACCACCTTTATGCAGACGATTTACAGATATATTGCCTGGCTCCACTTGAAAAACTTGAGGAAGCAGTATTAAAAACCAATCTTGATCTATGTCGAATTGCGGAGTGGAGTAAAGCTTGTGGCCTTAATATTAACCCTATTAAAACTCAAGTTATGGTAGTGGGTAGCTCCAGACTATTGTCACAAATTAACTGGATTACTCTTCCTAAAGTAAAATTCGAAGGAACTGATATACCTTATAGTACTACGGCGAAAAATCTGGGAGTGATATTAGACAGTATATTAAGCTGGGAGCCACAGCTACAAGCTGTAAGTCGGAAGCTGTATGCGTCTGCTGGTTCATTAAGAAGACTACGTAACTTTTTACCTACTGCCACTAAAATTATGCTATCTCAATCTTTGTTACGTCCAGTCCTAGACTATGCTGACGCCTGCTATCCTGACCTTACGGAGGACCAGCTAAATAAACTTGAGCGCCCTCAAAATTTCTGCATCAGGTTCATATTTGGTTTAAGAAAATATGATCACGTTTCCCAGTATCGTTCTCAACTCAAGTGGCTTCCAATTCGTCGTCGCCGGGATACTCATATACTTTCCCTTCTTTACAATGTTTTGTTTAATCCCTATTACCCCAATTATCTCAAAGAACTTTTCAGTTTTCTCCACAGTTCCCATGCCCAGACGTTACGCTCATCAGAGAATCTGAGCCTTAAAACTCCTGTACACAATACCTCCTTCTATAAATATTCTTTTTGTGTTGAAGCTGTGCGCCTCTGGAACTCTCTTCCTGTTGCGATTAGACGTGCACAGACTATAGGAAAGTTTAAAAGTGAGATAAAGGAATTTTTCCTCTTACAATAATTGTTTGTGTTCCTATGCATTCTCCCTGTTCTTGCTTGCATCATATGATTATTATTAAGTTTATTAAAGATGTGTATTTTATTTTATGTACCGATGTATGTTCTTGTTTGTTTATTTGAATTTTTATCAGTTTCTATTATTTAACTTGAACAGTAATTTTAATTATGGTTAGATTTTGTTTTCTTTTTTTTATTAATTTTTATTTTAGTCTTGTAATTTTGCACACCCCCTCTTTAATTAAAATTCGTCTCTCCATCCTATGGTTGTCTGGAAGAAATGGCTACATAGCCATAAGACCGCCAATTGTCCACCTATTTAAATTAATTTC